TATGTATGTATGTATGTATGTATGTATGTATGTATGTATGTATGTATGTATGTATGTATATGCATGGTATTCAGCTTTGTTCGAGTATTTTCCCACATCATTATAGTTGTGCTTTTAAAGTTGTAGCAATGTTTCAGCAGAATCTCATCTGCCATCATCAGGCTTCTGTATTGTACTGATGATGGCAGATGAGATTCTGCTGAAACGTTGCTACAACTTTAAAAGCACAACTATAATGACGTGGGAAAATACCTGAACAAAGCTGAATACCATACATATAAATACCCGTGAAAACTTAATAAATTCAGCTCTTAGAATATGTGATCTTAGCATCTCTGACATGGATTGACACTTGTACAAGCAGGTCATTATTTTACATCTGAAAAGTTTTTTATAACTTTGGGGAGTGATTCAACCAACAACATATTGATTTCAACCTTAGTATGGGTAATAACAATCATATGTACTATCTGTAATGGAGGAGAATGGAGGAGGATAATAATGCCTACATTTCAAAGTATTTTAAGAATAATCACTTTCATGTGAAATGCTCTAAATTTCTGACAAATGCCACATAAAACTAATAACAGCCACATTTTTGCCCACATACTTCATCTCCTTAAGTGCTTTATTTTCCAAAAACTCTCTCCTGCTTCAAGATAGAAGTTCTTTTGCAGATTGTTACAGAACTCAATGCACTCAACACAAAGCACTTTGAAGTGACAGGCATGTTATTTATGGGCAACTCTAAGTTAAAGGAAGAGGCTGGTGTGCAGATTCTATTTTGCTTCATTCATGGTTGAGAACCTCCAAGTTTTCCAAACTGAGTAAATTTGGAAGGTCCTAAACTTTATGAGTCCAAACTTTGCAGCTAATGTGAAATACCAGTCAAGACATTGGGACACTTCAAAATGTAATCAAGAAAAGAAACATACTTTCTTGCCATTGCTCTTCTTAATAAATGAATTCAGTAGGAAAGAATTTGGCACAGTGGACGGAGACTGGTAGAGAGAGAAATTCAGGGAACATGGGCCAAGGGTGCAAGAAAAACAGAAAGCTGTCTAACATATGAAAAGCAACATTCTCATTCTGTAGCAAGTGAAGTGCTCCTTCTCTCCTCTCCCCAGGTGAGGCAAGAGGATTTGTTTGGCTTTTTTTTTTTGTTACACTTTATTTTGAATTAGAATACCCAGGTGTGCCCTCTTTAGAGATTTCTTTCAAACAGCACAGGGAGAATTCCTGATAGCAGTGAAGAGAAAAGATGCTTCAATTGTGCCATTTTGTGCTTGTTATTTTCAGACTTGTTTAAAAGGTATTAGGATTTGGCAAGGATATTGAAGAATGGGCCCTGCTCTTCTTGCCTTTGGACAAGCTGCATTTACGAAGCAAAAAGCTTTGAGAAAATAAATATGAAAGCAAGATGGTTTCAGTCAAATGCCTATTGTGAGCTGTCTCCTATATTGGCTCTCTACCTGTGGACACCTCATCATAGGAGACAGCTGACAATTAATATGTCCATTGGTGAATTGAGATAGTTGGGTATATTTTGATGTCCTCCTCTATCAAGAGCAAGATTAACTAGTTCAAGATTATTTCAAGTTTTTAGTTATCTTAAGAAAGGCATTGTTCTGGTATTTGGAAGCACCAGAGATCTCTCTTCCTTATCTGCCCTCAAAAGCTGAAGGATTTTTTAAAGTGAAGCTGGGGCATTTGTTTGAAAGTAAGGTCCTGGGAGTGGGGAGTGGAAAGAAGAGATTTTAAATTGATAGTGGTCTACAAATATTTAAAAACACAACTAGAAAGATTATTTTATTCATCTAATAGTGGTGGTTTTTTTATATAAACTTCCCCAATCGTTAAAATTAAGACTGGCCAATGTACGAAGATGTTAATAATAGTTAAAGTCAGAACATAAAAAGAGTATTCAAAATCTTCATCGTGAACCAAGAGCCCACTGAATAAGTTTAAGTGTTCTGCAAAATGACTGAACTATCAGTATTGTATATATTAGGGGGATAGTGTATTCCAAAATGTGGAGACTGCTACCAAAGGCTGCTTCTAGGTCCACACACCTTTTGTAACCTATGATTGTAACAGAGGTGGTATTCAGCAGGTTCTGACCAGTTCTGGAGAACCAGTAGTGGAAATTTTGAGTAGTTCGGAGAACCGGCAAATACCACCTCCAACTGGCCCCGCTCCCATCTATTCTCTGCCTCCCGAGTACCAGCTGATCAGCTGGGTCTTCTTTTGTTGCCCTGCACAGGAGAACGGAGCTGGAAAGCAGGTTAGTGGGGTGGGAGGGAATGGGATTTTGCAGTAACCTTCCCTCAAGAGTGGAAAGAAAAGGAGATTTTACAGTATCCTTCCCCTGCCACGCCCACCAAGCCACGCCTACCAAGCCACACCACGCCCACCAAGCCATACCCACAGAACAGGTAGTAAAAATTTTGAATCCCACCACTGGGTTGTAACCTTCTGCAAGCATTTTCTTAATGCCTAGGCCAGATAGGCAGAGAGAGATCTAATAAAACAAGCCCTAACATAACCTAGTAGTTAAGAGACCTTCACAGTTTCTGATGATCTTCAAAATTCTGTTGCACAACTGAAAGTCTACGTCAGGGCTGTCAAACTCCTGGCCCACGGGCTGGATGCGTCACTCACTAGTCACACCCATGCCTGGTTTAGCGAAGGAGAAAAAAGTCCCGATACATCATGTGACACCGCTGTCACAATGTGAGTTTGACACCCCTGGTCTACGTAATGTTGCTATCCTGCAGGGTGTTTGTTATCTCACTTCTAGCAATTACTGTAGTATGCTGCATATGGAAATGCAGAAGTGTGTGTGTGTGTGTGTGTGTGTGTGTGTACATGCACATGCCTGTGTGTGTCTGTCTATTCACAGCAGGCCCACTTTTAGGCTAAACCTGGGTAGGTAATGGCCTAAGATACCAAGCCTTTGGGGATGCCAATGCCACCTCTGCTTAGCAATTTTCAGTCAACTATAACTGGCAACTGTGCTCTGGCATAGTGGTGGTAGACCAAGATTTAGTTGCCAAGCTTAATTTAATTTTAAATTAATCATTTCAAAAATGTAAAAGTTAGCCTACAGGCACCATATTCCCTTCAACTGGCCCTCATCCAACAGTAGATTATCACTATCCCCAAATTCAGATTGCATTATTTTGTTCTTGTAATGAGCTTCAGCCTCATTTTGTCTCTGTCAAACCCACATTTTTCTCTAACTAGAACTGGCCTCTTTTCATTTAGAATTAGCTGTTGTTAAAGGGGAGAAAGAGGATCTCATAATCCACCGATATAAACTGGAGCCTTTGCTCTTGAGCACACAGAGGGATTTTCTTTTCCAGCTGCTTATTTTGTTTTATTCAAACAAAGCAGCCAAGCATTAATTTTAGTTGCATTTAATTGAATAATTTCCCAGAAGAATAGTTTAGAAGAATTTTAGAGCAGCTTGTTTCCAAAACCCATTACTGACTGGCATATACTATAGCATCTGTGTGCCAATGAAAATAGGATACTTTCATGTTATTGGAACTGCTTTTTTCCCCCCCAGATGTGTTGAGAAGTCTCAGTGATATAATGCAGGCAACAGCTCTATTTACACAAAGTAGGAATTTGAGTATCCTTTCCTAATTATCATGGATAAGATTATTCTTCTCAACTGGAAGGATTGTATTATAAAGAAGAGAATTAGTTTCTCCTCTCCGTTTTAGTAATTTCCTTTTGATTGAAATTGTACTTCAGGCAATTAATAAAATAAAGAGGTATGAAACAAGAACATCTAACTTGTACTTACAGAAACATTTCATGGCGCATCCCAACTATTGAAGCAAAATATTTGGCAATTCCAGTCTAATTATAAATACAAATGTTCCAGACTAGACTTGTTATTAAAATCATATTTATATATAATATTCATATTTCAAAATAAAATGAGGTCACTTGGGTAGGAACAGATAATTTTAACAATTTTCATTGGGAGAAAAATTCCCCATTGAAAACAGCACAGGCTTCCTTTTAAGGCAAATACATTTTGCAAAGGGAGCATTTTCATCAAGACTGCAACAGAACAAAAATAGAGGTAAATCCCACTCCCCCAGAATCTGTACAACAATAATTTTGTTGTTGAGTGAACATGGTTTTTTTTAATGCACACATTAAACGTGCATCAGATCTTGCTTGCTAGATGTAGCACAAAAAAATAGAGTTTGTATTTTCTTTCATGGGGATTAAG